ATCATTGGCTTAACTACGTGCTGGTTGAAACAGAAGGTAAATATGACACTAGAAAATATAAGAAAAATTGCAAGAATACGTGTTTTTCAAGAATGTTAAGGTGTCTTGTTGTATTTGTGAATATATCTTTACTTGTTAGAAAAATCTTTCTTCTTTGTGATAAAATCGCTGTGTATGAATAGCGTCTCACCATTTTATATGGAATGCTTTTTGAACATTGTGGTGCATGCGACTTATCTGCTCAAATTTCATGCATTTTTTCACAACTATCTTTTATCGTCACCATCGACTGTATTTTATATTTACATTTTTTTTCTCTCTTTATCTGCTAACATGCACATGTGCCTTGTTCTTAGATTTTGCTGAGCCTTATATCATGTCAAATTATCAACAAGGAAATGATGTGCCAAGTACTGAGATACCTTAGACTCTATAGGGAATATGCATGTGATTCAAATATCGCTTGTTTTTATCTACATTCTATATTGCTTCTGTATGACACTTTAAATTTTATTCTATTCTTAATTGCTATAAAATTACGTGTATTAATTGATAAAAAGTGGGAAAACACACGAAAAATTATAAATAACGAAACTCGTGACGTCACGATTTCAACTAGTGACCAGTCAACCCTTTGTTGATTGGTTATGTCGAATTGAAATGGCACTAATTTGTTTCCACCGTCATTGATTGTCAACCTATATAATATAATGGAAATAAATCAGCAACAAAATGAACCAAGACATAACCCAAAATCAAAAAGTAGTATTAAATAAGTATCTTCTTTAAAAGGCAAATGAAAAAAAAAGATACGTGGACGATCGTAATCTAAGGTAAGTAAAAACTAATCGGGTTTGGGCAAAATGGTAGTTCTGAGTTCTGTACTCACGTTAAAATGATAGTCACAACAATATGAATTACTTTTTGAAGATATATTAGCCATTTCAATAATTTTATACCACTTTTACCTTAGCATCTCGGCGAGTATGTATGAGCAAATACTTTATTTGTCGTGGTAGTGAAGTACTTATGATAAAGTTTCCTATCTTCATACATGCTTATGTTTTTCCTGTTAAATTAGAACTAGAAGATATAAAACAGAACCTATGGAAGCTTGATAGCAAATCGTGACACCAAGTTTATCCAGAACAAAATTTTTATTACAAAGAGCTTATATGACAGTAGTAGATGGTCGAACAATCAATAATAATTAATGACCTCAAAACAAAATTATAGTAAAATTTAGGATATTAACAGAATAATTTATTTCAGAGTAAAAAGCGCGACTAGAAAGTCCATAATTATCCATCTGCCTTTTCATTCTGTATGTACAATGATTATTATCAACTAATATTCATGTTGCCCAGAATACTCAATATAATCACATCTATAGACTCAACTGAAGTGGATATTCTTAGAAAAATGAAAAAAAAGGGGTTTATGGTAAAAGATTAACTTTTTGGTACTATACAGGGTGACTTCGAAGTTGAGTCATTTATTTTAACAGTGAGTAGATCTGATCAAAAGAAATGTTTTTTCCTTTAACATTTTTCTGGTAAAATTAAAGTAACAAAGTTATAGCCCTTTAGAAGTTTGAGTACCGCCCTGTCCCTGTCTCATTAATAATATTATGTGCTCGTGTTTGGAAACAACGGATATAATCCACCTTATCGGTTCATCGCATCGGAAACAAAAAAGCGAAAGAATTTGAAACGCTGATCACGATATTTTTATTCAGTCAATGTGTCAGTCGGTAACGCGTGAGTGAATAGTGGTGTTTGCTGCGTGGCTCAAACGAAATGAAAAATGGCACATGTTTATGCGGATCGGTTTCCCAATCGAGTGCAACCAACCCCTCGTGCCTTTGTTAATGTAGTACAACGGGCTCGTGAATCAGGTGACTTAAGACCTCACAGGGGAGGGCATGCCGGTGCTCCAAGACCTCATGATCAAATACAGGTCCGCACTGAAACACTTGTCGGGAGGATACTTTATAAAACAAGGCAATTTTTTTTTATTTTTTTTTATTTTTACACACATATTTTGGTTTATCTTCTTTCTACAATCATTATCTGAAAATTAATGACTCAACTTCAAAGTCACCCTGTATAATATGATCCAGTCTGTCAGTAACGGTCTCACCTACAACACCCTGATATATTCTCTGGGAATATCTCTGTTACCCTGTAATTCAACAGAGCATGAAAACCGCCAAATTTCTCCTCATAGATTTTCCATAAGGCTACACGCTACAGCGGACCAACCGTGACTCCAGCTATCAACTGAAGAAACGAAGACGAGTACTTTGACGACTCACCACGTGTATACGGTCCATGTTCCGGTGGTCAGTAATGATGTGCTAATGGTGCATGTCGAGTGTTGCAAATTTTCGCGTCGCATCAGGCCTGTTATCGAGAACCGTGCAAACAAATGGCCTTAGGTGGACATTTATTTCACTCAAAGGAGGCTAGAAGACATGTAGAACCACCGTTTAACAATTGTACATATCTAAACTTAAACGAAACTTTAAAATTAAGCCATATCAGTGTGAAGTATGTCTCCGATGACCTATGAGCTTTCAAGCAAGGCTCAATAATATTCCACCGGGTTCAATCTATCATTCACCCTAACGCAGTGTCATCAGCTTTTATCAATTGAAATATCCGTATGTATTATCGCTCCATCCTTGTTAGGAATCGCCGATACGGTAGGAGATATGACAACGCAACAAATACACTAACCAGTAGACAATGTATAGGTGTTACTATCCGTTACCTTTTTTGTCTCTTATTTATCAGATCACTAATAAAAAATAGTTTGTCCTTTCCCCAAATTACCAGTTTTGTGATAAAATGATTATTCTTATCTCGAGAATAACAATCTATGCTAATTTCAAGAGAACCGCTAATTGGTTATACAGAGGTGATTTGTGCATTAATTACCAAATTAGACTATTTTTCTGGAGCTGGAAACATAATCATTGCTGTCATTTCAATGAGCTTATTATCAGTTCCTCGGTCACAGTGATTAATATCTTATTATGAATTAATATAAAACATTTATGTTTTACCTAAGCGGTAGAATGATACTCCGAAATATTCTTGGCATTACTACTGTGTTACTATTGAATAAAACTCTCTAAAATTTTTGAGTACCTCTAATTATGATGAAAACTTGTTTCTTGGATAAATCTGAAGCGCATTTCTGATGTCAGTGTTTTTTAAGATCGACTAGAGCTAACAAAGGTACAATCGTCCCACCAAATTCAAGACTGCGTCTAAATTACCCCAGCGTACCAAGGTTCGACCAATTTTAGCCACTGCGGTCAAAAATGCAAAGTTTTTAAAATTTTAGTAACTGGAATAATTTTCAGTCATTCTTGCGTAACTGCAATCTAGGTGAAAACGTATTCACTGGATAAACCGGAAGCGTTGATTACGAGTCTAATTTTATATTATTTTGCTGAGAGGTCCACTTTTCTTCTTTACTTCAAATGGGGTTTCGCGATGCTATGGAATTTTTAACAACATATTCGAAATAAGTATCCCAAATTATCTTCGTATTCTGAATTTTCATTCGCCCGTAGCTGTGCGGGATATAATTCGTATCATTTTCAGTGTCAAAGACAATTTCCAATTCTGTTACCTATTGTTTTATTACTGCTGATGAAATTCTTTATCACCACTACTTAAGTTTGCTTTTATGCCTTCAATATATTCTGTATTATTGTTACTGAAAGCATGCATGTTATCTTCAAGGCCAATAACTCTGATTTCTACTTCTTTTCAAACTGCACAGCTATGGAATGCGTGGCTTGCCATTGCAGCTGTTTCGCTCGTATATTACACAAAGAAAACTACGCGTTTGGGTCAACGGTACCAAAAGTGAGACATCAGAAGCAAACATCGGTGTGCCACAGGGTTCAATTCTAGGACCATTTTTGTTTCTGTTGTATGCTAACGATTTGTCCGACTTTATATCTGAAGCTGGTCCAGAATATAAGGTTGTGGCATATGCAGATGACACCAATATCTTGGTTACCAGTCCAAACGTCACCAAGCTGCCGGAGATGACTGAGAGAGCATACAACAGAATCATTAAATTGTCTGAAAATAACTTCCTCCGAGTAAACACAGAAAAGACCAGCATTGTGAAATTCGCATTAAAAGATGAACAAGATTTCAACATTTTTGATCATACTAACAGAGCTATTCCATCATCTAATTCAATTAACATGCTGGGGATGATATTTGATTGTCGAATGTCGTTGGGGTTCCACGTTGAGTGTTTGTGCAATAGATTGCGAAGGAGTTGCTATGGCTTGAAATTCTTAGCAAAGCAGTGCAGTAAACGAATTTTAAAAACTTTATACTATGCCACTGTCAACTGTCATATCCGGTATGGTATTCTCAATTGGGGAAGTAGTTCACCAACTGTAAGAGTTCTCCTGCTGCAAAAATATGCCATTAGAATTATTGATAACCTTGGTTGGCGCCAATGCTGTAGAGAATCCTTTAGAACACTAAAGATGTTGACTGTTATAGGTATTTACATTTATGAGTTGGCTTTGTTTGTTTTCAAAAATAAGCGCGAATTTGAAGTCATCAAACACCAGCATGAATATCCAACTAGGTCTAAGATGAGTTTAATCCCGCCGAGACATCGAACTAGGGCATACCAAAAAACATGCAGGTATATGGGATGTAAGATTTTTAATAAGCTCAATGATAATATTATGAATGAATCAAGTATAGCTGTTTTCAAAAGAAAACTAAAACTTTTTTTGATAGACAAAGGTTTCTACACCTTGGAGGAGTTTTTTTGTTTAGATCTATGTTTTTATACTATTTCAACTCGTCACCACTATTTTTATCACCTTTTCATTTGTTATAGAATTTTCTGTTCCATTCAACAATGAAATAAATTATTATTATTATTATTATCATTTGTTACCTGTTGTTTTATTACTGCTGATGAGTTTCTTTGTCACCACTACTTACGTCTGCTTTTATGCCTTCAATATATTCTGTATTATTGTTATTGAAAGCATCCATGTTATCTTCAAGGCCAATAACTCTGATTTCAACGTCATTATCACGTCTTGCCTCTGTTGTTGCTACACTGCTTTTGTTGGTTGCCTTGAAATGATCAGCCTTATCAACTGGATCAAAAAAGTCATCACCGATACTATTCGACAGTATATCAAAGGGAGGCGGTCCATCGTATCCAGGAAAAGCGGTATCGAAGTGCTGAAAAATTGCAAATCATCTCTGTAAAAGGGCTATATTAGGCATGCCATGCCGACATCGCCAACGTCAATAACCAAACTGACCTTTTGAAATATTGATTTTGGCATTCGTCTCTGCTAGTCGCCACATCAAGGAGCTGCCATGTATTTAATATAATTTTTTTGCATGTAATGAATGTTCTAATTTTTGTGGTCGCAAGCAAAGTAAAATAACAACAGATCCCAAGAGCCATAAAAGTTTTATGATTACCTGCATTGTTCGAAAAAAATAAATGATTGTCAAAAAAGTCAGCAGGACAGAATTTTTTGTCAATTTCGTTCATGAAACTGCCCTTCGAGATGCTTCTGGAATTCATAAGTGTGTTTTGGTCAGTGCCAAGGGCATCCTATTAGCAAAATACCAATTTTGCTTTGAAAACCAGACCATGTTTATATGAACTTAAGGTTCAGGGATGCATCCTTGTAATTACGGCCTATTATTCAGTAATACCCTGTATAAGACTGCCTGCTTCTTATAAAATAATTGTGAAAAAATGTTATCTTACCTCGAAGTTATCAGCAATGTTGTTGAACACTTTAGCGGGCAACCCAGTGGTAACTCCGATACACAAGATCACGGAAATGCAGGCTAATTTCAAGATCATATCAAATTCACATTAAATATAATATGCGGCACTAAACTTGTCAAGTCGTCTTCTTTAAGCCTAAACAACAACTGTCACCGAATCGTCACCAAATGTACAATGCATGACGGATGTACTAAATTACAGTGTTTAGCATGGTAACTACTTCCAGCTCTTTGGAAATAGAAAGAAGGTAAATTTCTGGTAATTAGAGGTGTATTTTGTGGCAATACATTAAGGGGTGCACACACAGCAAGTAGACAAAAAGAAACGCCACGTTCACTTGTCAGGATTATTGAATACCCCAAAAATGCCGCCGCCACTTCAGCGATCTCCAAACAGCAAAAGGTTTGTTCGTCCTTGGTATAGTGTGGAAGTTCCATCAAAATCCGCGCGGTACATTCCAAGTTATACAGGGGTCAGAGATCAACAGACAGAGAGACAGACAATCCGACGGCATGAGCGACATAGTTTCTTGCGATCAATATGTCACATAACATCCAAAAAACGTATGTTAAATTTGTTTCCACTGCAATACTTCCTCGTCAGTTGGCGTGGAAAATAAAAGCAACGACGTGCTTAATATGTAAAAATCGAATTTTGATAGCGGCAATTGTCAAATTCGTTCTGTTCAGACAGCCAACACGCTGTTAGTGTCCCCTATGGAGGAGTGGTATAACGACCGTTTTGCAGATATTCGCCTAAGTGACTGCAACGGGCTTGTCGCTAGCATGATTTGTGGGTTGCGGGTTCGTAGGATACTATTGGAGCAAAATGTGACGGACGAAACATAAGCGAGTGTAAAAGTTGCAATTGAGTGCAACAACGAACATGTCTGCATTTCCAACTGTGATTGATTCCGATGTGATATATGCCGGCCATGAAACGAAAAGGATTCGAAAGTTTCAGCAAAGCGCGTGCCATCTACGGAGCAGTGCCGAAGTTTGGAAATATGCAACACACATAACTAGCGTAAGCTACTAATAGCTGGTACGCATTACGAGATTTGAAAAAACAGGTAATCAACACAAGAAATCGGAAGTTGACATAAGGAATTGCAATCTGATAAGTCGCAGCTATTATCTATTAACAGAATTAACATCTGCGAGAATAAATAGCAGCTATCTGGGTAACTGAGTTCACGTTGAAAGTCAAGCCCTCACTGTAACCGCTTGATACCGTCGACTCTGGCGATGTGGTAGATGATCGAGATTGGAAGCTCATCATACTGTTTCATGCTTACTGGCCATCATCAACTTGGTCTAGGCTTCGTCTCTAGGTAGGACAGCGAACGACAGCAGATCAAACTGTCTTCTACACTAGGTCTATTCAAATACGGTTGGTACAGCACAGCAGTATTCGCCAGAATCGGCGGCATAGAGCGGTCACAGTAAAGACTCGGCTTCCAGCGTGAACTGAGATACTTTTATATTTCTAACGGATAGCTGCTATGTACTATCTCACTAGTCGATTTTGATAATAGATGCCATATACAGGATGCTATGTTCTGTTTCCGTTCAAATGATCTGCAATTTGATAGATGTAGTTTCAGTGCAGCGGAGTATTTTCTGGACGGAAGAAAGCACATATGGGCGATATATGTGAAAATAGTATTCTACTGCCCGAAGTGTGAGTGTCAACTAATCCCACCACGGTGGTGCTTGCAAAATTCCATCATAAGAAGTAGACACGTAATAGAAGTCAGCCGTTATGATTCCTAGATCCTCCATCACTTCTATCAATTAAACTGTTCTTTCTCAACAGCATCAGATCAATCCCAGCTACAACCAGAAGCATGTTTTCATATTTTTGTTTTTAAAGTAATAAAGATTGGACCACTTCATTGGATAGGGATCTGACATACTGTTTTGTTGCAAAGGCCCTTACTAAGGCTTTTTAAAATTCCCACAGACCTCGAACAATCACCGAAAATTGAAAGACGCATGGCATTAAGAAATTTGCGCCGTCATCCGGAAGACGCTAGTCACAGCAAGATAAAGAATATATTTGAGAATCTCGAAGATCTAGTTTATAGAGGCTTCCATTATTTTGTATTTTATTTTTATCGAAGATGTTATTGTTGAGACAAAATTTGGTCATAGGAGCAGTCAGTATTTGCTTAAAAATGTTCAACTATTTCCCAAAGCCGGATGAGTGCTGGATCCCCTCTTGATAACTGAGGTATTTAATTGCATCAAATTGGTTCTAACTGAATTTTTACCTTGAAATGATTTTCGACGTCGCCTTGTAGCCATTTTAAGTCGGCTTATCGTGGCGAAAAACATTTAAAACAAGGTGACATTGAAATTAATTACAAGAGCCGAAACTGTGAATCAAAACTTGATACACTGCATGCAATGTACTGTCGTCAGCAAAGCTTCGAATCTGATTAGTTAGATATGTTCTATATGTTTCAGAAAAAGTAAATGGTTCCAGAATTTGATTTAGTTTTTTATGATCGAGTGTATGATAAGCCTTAGCGTACACTTTTCTAGGGGCTGGTCTAGTGTGCGAAGACTAATAATACATAACATTTTCAGCTAATCGTTACTTTGGAAAGAAAGTTTACGTAATCCGAGGAATGCTTTATAATTTTACGATTATTGGATCCATCAGTGGTATATTTGGGTCAGTCATAAGCGTTACGATTTACTGACGTAATAAATGATGCATATCTGACGAGTATTAAGAATAACGGAACAAGATGTCTCTCCACAGATATTAATAACAACTTCGAATGTTACTCGAAATTAACTGAAACAACTTCAATCATACTCTCAGGCATATGTTGTTCTTCGTTTATGTAATTCGATTTGATTCACATTTGCAATGAATCTCCAGTGGTCTTTACATTCTGAAAAATGTTAACCACAGATTAGGTGCACTCCGGTAGTCTACACATCATCATTTGATATGATCCCAAAGCCTCATTCTCGTGCAATTTTTCCAGAATTTTAAATTTAGATTGTTCTTAATTTTTCAGTCACATTGCAACCCTCTGCCTTGTATATTTAAGAACTTACTCAACTTTGTAATCCTGAGATGAAGTGTAGGCTCAGGTTATGGGACAAAATTTTATACAGTTACTCTTCTGTATTCATTTGTCACCACATGGTACTTTGTCCCAGTTGTAACGGCCCATCTCTAGAGTTCTTGGACTCAATGTACATTGTTGTACGCTACCGATTTTCGGATCTTTCTATACTAAGTGACATATAAATCCGAACACCCAGTTTAAATGGTTTTATTTTAATAAAAGTTGGTGAATGTATTTATCTTACTGTAAATAACAAGTGAAAAAATTTTCAGCCTTATAAGTTGGACATTCCGGTTTTTATACTGCTTTTTTTCAATTCACTAACGCTCTAGAAATGAATATTTCAGCCGCAGTAAAGAATCAACGTTGGCGGATTTTGGTTCTTGACATCCTTTACGATCGGTTACGATGCCTAGAGTACGGAGACCTGTACGATTTCGTCAACTTATTGAGTTTGATAGGGGCCGTATAGTGTGACTTCGGGAAGCTGGACTTTCTTTTCGGGCAATTGCAGATAGAGTGCAAAGAAGTGTAGACACTGAGGTTAGGTGTTGTCAGGCATGGCTTCGAGAAGGCCGTACGCAAAGAGCAAGGGGCACTGGACGCCGCCGTAGAATAACAGACCGTGAAGGTCGCCGCCTAAGATTATTGGCCTTAAGGGACCGTTCTCCACTACCAGGTCCATTGCAAATGAATGGTTTGCAGAACACTGAAGACCTATTGGCATGCGAAGTGTTTACCGACGAATGAGAAGTTTTGGCTTGTTTTCATACCGACCACACTGGGTCCTCCCTTTAACTCGAGAACACCGACGTAATCGCCTTGAGTGGTGCAGACAACGGTCACTTTGGGATCAGGAATGGAACAGTATTGTCTTTAGTGACGAGTCTCGATTTTGTTTAGGCATGCACGATGGTCGTGCCAGGGTTAGAAGGCGACGTGGTGAAAGGAGGAATCCACAGTTTTTTGTTGAAAGACATGTTCATCACACTGTTTGAGTTATGGTTTGGGGTGCTATAGCTTATGGTTCCAGGTCACCTTTAATCTTCATCAGAGGTAACATGAACGCGCAGCGTTATATCCACGAAGTTCTAGAACCACATCTTTTACCCTATCTTGACACCCTGGCAGATCCAACTTTCCAACAAGATAATGCCCGACCACATGTTGCAAGAGTCACAATAGACTTCTTTCAACATAATGATGTCACATTGTTACCATGGCCACCAAGATCTCCCGACTTATCCCCAATTGAGCACGTGTGAGATATGATGGGTAGGAGATTGCTCAATTTCAGACTCTAGAAGCACTTCGAGAGGAGTTGGTGGTTGCCTGGAATGAGATACCACAGGAAGACATTGACCACCTGATCAGAAGCATGCCTAGGCGCGTTGGAGAATGCGTAGCACATCAGGGTGCATCCACACATTATTAAAGGTCAAAGGGCTTTAACGCAGTGCAATCATTTTGAAATTTTAATCATTTACTTATTTATTATGCTTCATTAAGTACTTATACAAAATTTTATTAAAATAAAACCATTTAAACTGGGTGTTCGGATTTATATGTTACTTAGTATATATAAGAATTGCTCAATTATGGATCCTTCGCCATGGACCTTTTGTACCAATTCCAATATTGAAGGTGGTTTTGCTGTTTTTTACAACATTTTTTTTAAGAAATCTAGTGTTTTCTTAATTTGTCACAAGAGACTGAAATGTTCGAACACCACTGTGTTTCGATCGACCTGTCACATCTTCTGTTACTCTAAGCTTCAGCTTTATTTATATTCTTGAGGTGACTATACGGAAAATCAGGTTGACTTTAAAGATTGAATTGAGTGACCTCATAACTCTATCAGTTATCGATTACCCCATATCCGGTTTCCTGCTGATGAATTGCCATACATGGTTTTTTCTTTAATCAGTAAATTAGCATTTTTAATGAACTCTAACGTCGCGATATTTTTTACGGTTAGATAATTACTTATTAAATTAACCATATTTTCTAATGAAAACTATGTGTTGCAAAATGTAATAGTTACCTTTTCTTGTGTGAAGGGTAATAGGTTGGTTGGTGGTAACTGTTAATGATATTAATTTTTTATGCTATTTCATCTAGTCACGCCCTGTTGAAACGATAAAAGTGAATGATAATTGTGACGTCAAACAAATTTATTATTTTTTCAACTTATTATGCTAACTACAACTAATCCAAGGAACAACAGATTCATAGCATGTCTGTCTATAATCAACCAAATGCATTA